ATCAGCACCACATGGGAAGATAGTTTGGGAGTGGGGATGCGTGGGAAGGGCACGGTTAACACAAATCACGTAATGGTAAAGTGTATGTTTGTCGTCTTTAACGAGCAAACAACTCTGTCGTCTGAGGTGGCTGTGCTTCAGCGTCGGGAAACGACTACAAGGGACTGCTTGGACGAGAGTGAGCCAACTATTGCCTGTTTGACGGCAAGTAGCATCTTTATTTACCAAAAAACGGATCGTTCGCGATGTAAAAAAGGTGTAAAAATGTGTCTGGACTGAGTTCAGCCTTGACACGCGTGGGAAAGGCAGGTATGATAACCAGACGAGTATTAAGAGTTTCACAGCATGGTTGCGTCAGAGTACGTGGTACTTTTTAAGGGGTTGTAGTTATAGCCTCCCTTCGAGGGAAATGACGATGCTGATGGAAACCCCAACCTCTTTACCATTAGCTCTTGTCAATCTGCGACCCTGGTCTCAGCAGCACGTGATGGCGCTGGCAAACTGGTGCCATGATAATTCTAAATTTAGATATCAACAAGAGGAAAATAATCTGCCACACATGAGTTACTGGTGGTGCCCACTGCGGGAGGGGCTCCCGTACTTTTGTGAGCCCTTTATATTGTATACAGCGATGTACATGTCGGTCCTCGCCTTTCAGCGCCAATACACCGCTTCTTCTCGACAATAACTTTTATCGGGATAGCAACCTCGATTTAAGGAGGTAGAGGTTATAGAAGAGTCGTCGCAAGATAGAATTTCTTGTGTCGCCTGTGGCCTCTCACTGACGCATGCTTACTTTTTGCTTGGAATGGTGAGTGGTGCAATCCTCCTTTTCTCCCCGTTGTGTAACAATGCTTGTGACGATGCAACTCAGGCCCGTTGTTCCTGCCCAGAGCAGCCTTGCTTTTGCAACCAGCGGAAGAACCCACTAGTGCGTTATCTGTTGTTGGCACGAGGCAAGGGGCACCACCGAGTGCGGAGAAAGGGGAGGAAAAAGACGAAGGCCACAACGACGAACAGAATGTTGCCATACCCACGCCGCACACACTACGGGAGCTCTTTAGTCATTTGTACCGAAGCGCATTTCTCGAAACAGAGGAGGAAATTATGTGACGGCACAGGCGACGTCAGCCGCAGCTCCGCTTGTTTACAGCTACACATTTTTTGTATTTATTTTTTTTTGGGTGATGGCTTCCGTGAAGATGTATTCGTTCAAGAACTACGACGCAGTACGAAATATGTCTTTGCCTCTACAAAAGATGGTGAGACGTTGTCAGCAAACAACGCGCTACTTAACGCTATGTGGATCCTCGCGCCACGTGGAAACAGTCAATTCCGTGGCGGAGCAGGTGTACGGAGCATGCATCTGGATGAATGGAAACTCATAATACTCGGCATGTCTTTTGAGATTGCCGTGTACGACTTCACATCAGAAGCGAAAAGGGGCCAGCAGGGGATTTGGGTTACGCCGCTCTTGATGCTGAGCTTGTAAGAACACATCATCCACACGTGGTGCTTCCCAGACCGAAGGAGGAACCCTGGTTTTGTGCAAAACTACGTCACAAGGCACTTGCTGTATTGTAGCGTCAGTTTGTTAGATCAGACATCATGCGGCACAATGTTCTGCTACTTGCTTCTGGCCGGTTGGTAGGGAAGCGATGCACCATTTTTGATCTTAGTTCCACATTCCGTGATCCGGGCAAGAGACAAAAAGGACGAGGGTACACCAGTGGCGTACTCAGCAACTCGAAGAGAGTGCCCCCAATGCGCTTTTGGTGTGACGTTGTTAATCCCGGCGTGTGAGACCGGTGTGGTTTACCTTTTGTGTTACAACCCATTGCAGCAGCAGTGGGAAGCTTTGTTTCTTATGATGTTTGTGTTGCGGGCCTTCACTATGTTTTCCGCAGGCTTTATCACTGCAGTGTTGGTGTTGCGCATCGATGAATATATCTCCATACCGCATTGGAGCGTGTTGTTTCTGTGCCTTCCCTTTGCCCTGAATATGTTGTGATGAGCAGCATACTTTTGTACGACACCCATTATTGCCAGGGGTTGTGATGTACCTTTCTATATTCGTACTATTTCACGTATGCTGATGTTTATGGTTTTCCCTGTCCTCTTTACTGTTAGGCGCGATGCGTACGATGAATTTCACCCATCTTGGTTTCTGCTGACTCCTCCCCTGGATGTTTCTCTCATCCTCACACCGGTGACCGCCACATACCTCGCTGCCTGTCAAGAAAGCTTTTGCGGTTGGGCGAGTAATGAGGCGACTGGGGAAGTTCTTTGGGCATGCCCTCTCCGTCGCATTTATTGTGCTGCTTTCGATGTATTTTGATGGGCCCTCCGCGGCGGATCTGCTGAAATCAAAGTTTGACCTTTCACTCGTCTTTTTGCTTGTTTTTTGTGTTCATTTTTTATTTATTTTTAATCTTTGTCAAGGTCATTTTTCAGTATTACCAAACCCGAAGCAGGGCTTCCATTTTGTTCCTGGGCCTTTGTACATTTGTCTTTATTATCCCCTTGTGTATATGTTCATATGAAAATTCAGTTACTACTACTTGGGATTTTGAAAGGAAGGCGGAATATTTTGTGCACTTTTAACTTGGACGTGTTTTATAATTCCCATTTCCTTCTTGTCTTTTTTCTCGTGCTTTGCGCTCTCCTCAGTTATGCTGTTATCCTATGGCTGAGTATTGGGGTCCACCGTGAGATCTCCGATGAATTAATGGAGAAAAGAAGGGTTGCAGCAAGGACCGTCTCTTCTTACCCACCCACCCACCCACCCACCCACCCACCTCCGCGCGTGTACGTGGCCTTCTGTTTCCGTCTGCACAAGGTAATGTTGGTGCGCACCTTTTTGCTTGAGGCCCAGTAAACAGATGTGCGCGATGCGGACATATTGCGCCTAACCGTTGGGGAATGCAATGATTTGACTTTTTTTTTTTGAGGGAGGGGGGAGGGGGGTTGCTTTGGCGTACTGTGGGTAGGTCGTACTTGGGTCCCTGGGGATTGGTGGAGTTTCTCTCCTTTTCTTTCTTTCCTTTGGTCTGCCTCGCAACGGTTTTTTTTTTTTGGGCCTTGTGGAAGAGTAGGATGCCCAAGGTAATCTCTCATCCGGGAGTAACGCGCGGGGGTAAGGCGTGAAATTTATTTAGGCGGGCTGTCTGTTTGTTTTGAAGCAGCACCGACCGTTTTTATTATTATTTTGCGTGTGTCTCTTAGATGGCTTCTGTAGATTGTTTTTGCGCCTTGATTTTTTCAGATCTTTTGTTGATCAAGCGGCCACAACGGAGAAACTTTTTTTTTTTGCATATTTCTTCGCTTGTATGAAGATAATTTTATTCCGTGCGGTGACTGTTGAGTTCACACTGTGGGGGGCTTGTTTTGATTTCACTGTATGTCAGCCCTCCACACTTTCCACACCACTTTTTGTGGTGGCTACAATTACAGCTCTTTTCTGATGCGCCCCCAAGTGCCGTGCTTACATTGAGGTGTGTGTGTGTGGGGGGGGGGGGGTATCCGGTTTTGCTACTTTAAATTATTACGCTGCTCAGGTGGTAATATTGTTCTTGATTCGTCTATTGACTTTATTTGTTTTTTGTCTTGTTTTTGCTTCATTGCACTTTTTAACCACTTTACTGTATATTGTGGGCATACAATACACATCGGCGGGTGCGTGCACACGAGGTTTTTCGGCCGTGGAATATGACGACGGCATGTGAATGAGATGTGATACGGGCCCCTGTACATCATTCAATATGTTTGGGGATCTTCCGTTTTATGCCAATGAAGCGGACTCACGCCTCTTCTGTCGTCTGACTCTGATGAGAGACGCACGTGTGACAGTTAAAGTGTTAACGAACGTCATGGGCAATCCAAAGCGGAGCAAAATAAAAACATGATAAAAGAGTGCAGTGCAACCCCTACCACTTACTTCTCTACGTGACGTTTTTTTTTTTTTTCGTTTTTATAGTTATACGCAAACACGGATCCAGACACAAACGCACAGATGTATAAGGACTTATATATGAGCTTAATTGATGCCCACCTATTGGTATATATATATATATGTGATTGTTTTCCCACTTTTTCTTTTTGCGGTAGTTGGAGGGGTTGCAGAGAGAGTTCAAATCCACTAACTTTCTTGCTGAGACTTCCACACACGCTCTATACGCTACTCGGGTAGAAAAATAAGAGGGGAGGAAGTCAATGTGGATCCAACGGTTCGGTGGCGGCTCGCTTGCGCACATCTTTCACGGCTGCCACGCCTCTCGCTCTGCGTCGCTTTTGTGCCTCCACTCCACCCAAGTAAAGGCACTCGCTGCCTGTTCTCCTTATCAGCGGCGGAGGCACCAGTATCAGTATCAGCACCACGAGGGAAACAAAACAGATGGGCCCTCGTGCGCCGATGAGTCGAATGGCGAAAGCACACCGGCGGGAAACTGGCGGTGTCCAGCCTCCACATATGCCGGGGTCCGTGTGAAATCGCACATTTTGTCCCCCGTATTTGAGGAGCATCATTCTCTGTGGCAGTGGCGGACAGTGGTATGGCGAGAAACGTTTCACGCAGTGCCTTTTCTTCTTCACTGTGCTCCTGGGGTGCTCTTGCAGCATCCATTTATTCATCACACACTCGTTGAGAGTATCACCACCAAGTCAGGTGTCAAAGGCCATCTGAGAGCAACTGAGCCCTCAACAACGGAGTCTGGGGATGATGTTAAGCGGCGATGTGCGCAGCTGGTGGTTCCATCACCGATTGGAATGCTGGCCGCAACAGATTCAGGGGCTTCGGCCTGTCACCCTCTCGCTGAGTGGGCTGATGAGCTATTTTTTTTTTGGAACGGGGCGCGGCGCGGACGGCGGAGGCGTCAGGCTTTTCCTCCCCCGTGTATAAGGATGTCTTCAAGAGCAGCGACGCGAAAGTTACTCTCCCGCGGGGACCAAACGCCCGGATGAATCACAAACACAGCAGCACAGTGGCCATCAGTTCAGATAAAAGTATGGTTAGTGATAAGGTGGCTCATCACATTACGCATCGCGTTTGCCATCCCAGCTGGAGCATCCCGTTGAAACACCGAAACGTCATTGGTTGCGGTCTGGCAGAAGTAGTGCTGGCCATCGATCGTTATGCGGCGATGTTGGCGCGACGCGAAATCACATATGCAAAGGCCTGCTGGGCGGTGCTTGTGGACAGCAAAGCCGATGTGCAGCCGTTTTTACGCTGTAGTGCGGTGGCCATCGAGAAGGAACTTCTCGCTGCGACGGCGGCACACGAAGCTCTGACTGCCGCGATGGGCGATCCCTTGCGACGACCATTTATTAGGCTGGTAGATTACCCCGTTCTCGCTCACTGGTAACAGCTACTCCTTCGTTGTCAGGGCTGTCGTTGTGCCTTTTCATTTTGATTATTGTCACAACTTGGTTTGTTTCGTTTTTTTTTGTTTGTTTGTTTGGCGTTGTTTTAACTGCTCTTCACATGGAATGGACGGAGGGGGTGGGGGCTCCTGTCACGCTGCTGCCGCGTCATTTCCCTTCACTTGATTTTCCTCGTTTTTTTTTTCCACATCTGTTTTTTTTCTTCGCTAATATTGAAACACGCACACACATACACACTCTTTCTTGGTGTATCTGTCTGTTGGCTGTGGTGCCATCACCGGCCTGCGGGAGCCAACAGACGGCTAGCGAGTGGGAATGCAAATCAGCTACGTCAGTGAAAGATTTTCTTCTATTGCTCCTCTCTTCTTTTCCCTTGTCAACACACACCCCACACACCAACAACATGTCATTGGCAAGAGAAGGAAAAGCTAAAGAAATAGGGAATAAATAAAATAAAAAAGAACATAAACGGAGTAAGATTTCCTTTTGTTTTTTTTTGTTTTTTTGCACAAGATTTAGGGCTCCGAACATCACATTCAACAAATATACTTCTTTCGTGTTTTTTATTTTTGCTTACTGGCGTTGCTTCTCGGAATACATATATACACCCGGAGGTGAGAGGGTGTGTGCTTGTCACCACTACCGTTATTGCCGTAATATTATTGCTGTGTTGCTATCATTGCTGTACACGCTTGTGCTATCTCAACATCAATTTCTGTTCTCTCAACTAATGCCACAAGCAGAGCAGAGAGCCCGACTCTTTGTGGGACAACTTAACTTTGGCGCGACAGAGGAAGACATTCGTGCCATCTTTGATTTCTATGGACACGTATTGAGTGTCAACTTGCTACACGACAAATCTAAGAATCGTAGCAAGGGCAGTGCATTTGTGGAATACGGCTCAACCAGTGAGGCCGACTGCGCCATCCGCTCACTTCACAATCGCTACTACATGGAACGTGATAAACCACTGCAAGTGTCGTACTGTGTGCGGTCTGGATTGATTTCAGACTTTGGATGGCGGCAGGCTCTACGACTACACCAGGAAAATAATACGAATCCTCCTCCACCAAAACGGCTCAACTCGCCTCAAATCAAGCATTGACTGTAATGAACAGTGATAAAAACAACAAATAACGAGGAAGCGATTTTTTTTTTTTTTTGTGTGTGTGTTGATTTTTTAAAGGCCATTTTTTTTTTGCTTGTCTACATACATAACTATGTACATGCATATGCGGGCATCGAGTGAACCCTGCAGATGAGACAACTACGCACATAGACCCCTCCCCTCCTCTCCTTGAGTGGACATGTGTTGTATAGGTAGGGAATCCCCTTTGCTTCAATTCCTCACACCCCTCATTCATATACAGGCATCATGGAAGATATTCTTATTTCTTCTTCCTTGAGCGTGAAGTCTTGTCTTACCGCGACATTGTTCCACCGTCGTGACGCAATGGATTGGACGTATAAGAAAGCCAGCCAGCAGTTACTTGTTTTTCTTCTTTCCGAGCAGCAAAACGGTAATAATGCTTCAACATTCTTTGCTACTATCCCCACCTTTCTGTTGTGAAATATTTTTAAAAAATTTTCTTCCTTTTATTTTCTTTTGTTTGTGAAGAGTCCTTTTATATTTGGAAGCGCTTGCAAAAGGGCGAGGGGGCGCAGAACTGTTGCTAGTGCATTTCTGTGGCTGTTTTCCGTGGCTATGGTGGCTGGAAGGGCGCGTTTGTTTGTGGGCCAGCTAAACTTTGAGGCAACTGAGGAAGATGTTTGTGCCCTTTTTGACTTCTACGGGAAGGTGCTTCACGTTAAATATACTTCGCGATAGAGGAACCGGTCGTAGCAAGGGCAGT